TGGATTTTTTAGGGATTTTTGGGGGATATTTTGGGGATTTTTTTGGGATTTTTGGGGGATTTTTGAGGCCTCCGCAACCTGCACAACGACACCGCTGCTGGCGTGGCTGCCAGCGCCCAGGTGAGCATTTGGGGGGAATTCAGGGAATTTTGGGAAATTTTGGGATTTTTTTGGGATTTTTTGGGGATTTTTTGGGGGATTTTTTGGGAATATTTGGGGATTTTTTTGGATATTTTTTAGGGTATTTTGGGGGATTTTTTGGGGATTTTTGGGGATTTTTTTGGGATTTTTTTGGGATTTTTTGGGGATTTTTTAGGAGATTTTTGGGGATTTTTTGGGTATTTTTTAGGAGATTTTAGGAGATTTTTGGGGATTTTTTGGGGATTTTTTGGGGATTTTTTTAGGATTTTTTAGGATTTTTTGGGGATTTTTTAGGATTTTTTTGGGGATTTTTTTTGGATTTTTTGGGATTTTTTTGGGATTTTTTGGGGATTTTTTAGGAGATTTTTGGGGATTTTTTGGGTATTTTTTAGGAGATTTTTGGGGATTTTTTGAGGATTTTTTGGGGATTTTTCTGGGATTTTTGGGGGATTTTTTTGGGATTTTTTTAGGATTTTTTATGATTTTTTTGGGGATTTTTTTAGGATTTTTTAGGAGATTTTGGGGGATTTTTTTGGATTTTTTAGGGATTTTTGGGGGATATTTTGGGGATTTTTTTGGGATTTTTGGGGGATTTTTGAGGCCTCCGCAACCTGCACAAGGATTTTTGGGGGATATTTTGGGGATTTTTTTGGGATTTTTGGGGGATTTTTGAGGCCTCCGCAACCTGCACAACGACACCGCTGCTGGCGTGGCTGCCAGCGCCCAGGTGAGCATTTGGGGGATTTGGGGATTTTTTGGGATTTTTTTGGGATTTTTTGGGATTTTTTGGGGATTTTTTTGGGATTTTTTGGGATTTTTTGGGGGTTTTTTGGGGATTTTTTAGGGTATTTTTGGGGATTTTTTTGGGATTTTTGGGGGATTTTTTTAGGATTTTTTAGGATTTTTTAGGATTTTTGGGGGATTTTTTTTGATTTTTTGGGGATTTTTTTGAGATTTTTTTTGATTTTTTGGGGATTTTTTGGGGATTTTTTGGGATTTTTTTGGGGATTTTTTTTGATTTTTTGGGATTTTTTTGGGATTTTTTAAGGATTTTTTAGGATTTTTTGGGGATTTTTTTTTGATTTTTTAGGAGATTTTGGGGGATTTTTTGGGGATTTTTTGGGGATTTTTTCGGATTTTTTGCGGGGATTTTTTATGATTTTTTGGGGATATTTTTAGGAATTTTTTGAGATTTTTTAGGATTTTTGGGGGATTTTTGGGGATTTTTTGGGATTTTTTGGGTGAATTTTTGGGGATTTTTTGGGGGAATTTTTGGGATTTTTTGATAATTTTTTGGAGATTTTTTTGGCAATTTGGGGGATTTTGGGTTATTAATTGGGATTTTGGGGGATTAAAGTGGATTTAAGGTGGATTTTGGGGGATTTTAAAGAGACTTTGGGCAATTTAAGGGGGATTTTGGGGGATTTTGA